ATGCCGATTTTATTCATTTCTGACGATATAATCTGTGATAAGTTGTATGATTTCGTGCCTCATGCTTCCTGCACATACTGGATTGTGATATGTTTTCCCATGTTCTCCAATACGTAATTTGTGAATATTTTGTTGGGTAAGTCGAAATCCCTTAGCTTATTATTCAGGTGGCATTTTCATCAAGAAACAAATAAATGCAAAAAAGGATATTTTTCTCATTAGAGCTAGTTCATAGCATCGGGTTGCTCACCGCTGAAACCGGTACTTAATACCTCTGTATTATATAGAATTACAGATTAATATTTAAACTGAAACCTCTGTTCAAAATGAATAATGATATTTTCATATTTTCAGATTATCTTTTTCCTTATCTGTTTTCATAAATCGTCAATAATCTGCGAAGATGGTAGCTGTTTATTGGTGTCTTGAAGGCTGTTAGAAAATGCACGGCTTCCTATCACAAAAGGCGTATGTTTTAAAGTTGTTCCTAAAAATGCTCCAAATATTTTTTTTATCTGTAAAAAGTATTTATATAAACAATAAACAACAAGTAATATATATAGTTATATGTATTTTTGTGTAGTTGTGTCATTTATCCCTATTATCAGCTGCCCCTTGCGGCACAATTAAAAATAAGCAAGTGTAGTGGGGTCATGATGCAGGTTTGTTTGAATTCTTTAATTCTCAGCCACCAGGGCGCGCCACTCTAGCGATACACTTTCTACAAGAGTAACAGTCGTTTCTATATAAGCCTTGTTCTATGGTCAAAACCAGAATCGCGTACAAGACGTTGCATGAGCTCCAAAACCATGAGTTTCTCTGCAAACGGGCGAATTCTAATCTTACTCTAATACACTAGACAACTCGTTTAGCCAGAGTCGCATACAAGACGTTGTATGAGCAGTTTCTCTGCAACGGGCGAAGGTTACTCAATTTTCATCCTTTTAAAACACTAGACAATTCGTCTAGCCATCAGTTAGTTAGCAATACCGATCTACAAAAGTGTAATTGTGGTCAGTAAGACATTCGGTAACCTTGCAGTGAATAGTGAGTATTCCCATGTGAGTGCATCCTGATAGAGCCAAAGGGTGCAACGGGGTACAAGGGCCGCGTGTTCCTCTACCCTTCACAACACGTAGCGCCAGCCAACCGCTGATGGAACGTTGAAGGTACCAACTAATTGTAAAGCAAATTTATACCCCCACGGGGTGCTCGGCATCGATCAAACCAAGTTGCAATTTAGTTAAGAATTTAGATTAGACAGTATTTCCATCATTGTTGAGACCGCCAGAGAGTGATAGAGGAATGAATGACCGTGCTTGATTAAATAGTTTTGAGTGTTGCCATTTAACATTTTTAATTACATGTGTTTAGCAGATCTCAGAGTTTTATTGTAGGAAGGATCAGCAAATCTCGAAAGGGGATCAAATTTAAACATTGATTCTCTTTCCCGCGTTGGGTTGATCTTTTGTGAAAGATCAACCGAGTGTTAGTGAACGAAATTACCTCCTCACTAAACAATCCTTATACTTTGCAATAAATTTAATTTGCATGAATGGATTATCAGATAATAAGTTAATGCATTTTAAATGAATTAAAATGCACATTATTTTTTAGGAAACGTGCTTAGCACTTTTTGGTCCAACTTCTACGCAAACATAGAACTTCCCCTTCTATTCTACATGAATACAAACAAGAAAAGTTATGAAAATAATGGAAGTCGCTCAAAACCCAATGTGCTGAAAGTAAAAGTAAAGTTATATTTTTTTGGATACGAAACATTAGAATCATGTATAAAGTATATTATGTATTATTCCAGCTGCGGTAATAACAGTAACTCACTTTGCTTTGCGAATTGCTTCAATTTATTAAACAGAATCGTAACTAGAATAATCTACTACTATTAAACCGTAAGTTTGTTATAAATTTCAACTGTAAAAATTTCACAAAATTGTTGTAGCTAGACATTAAATTTAATCTTTAGGACTTTCATGTTAGTGTTACGATGTTTTGAGGAAAAACCATATCAAATAAATTCGTTCATTATTAGGTATACTTGGAAAAAGCGCAAACTTTATATGTGATAAGGATTTACGTACCCAAGGAGTCTGACGGAAGAGTTTAAGAACCTATTTGATTTCAGTGCATTAAGTTAGGCCAGCAAGGTAATCAACAAAAGCGAATATAAGTGATTATTATTTATTATTGTACTTACTGGGGATTTGGAATACTTTTCCAAGCTCCTAATCGCTGTTTCGAAATATTTTTCGCCATATTCGAGCCGCTGTTCTTGACAGAGTTGCTTCCACATGTCCTTGGCTTGACTGAGGATGATTTGGTCTGATACCCAGGTATTTCCAGAAGTCAGTTCGCCTGGAGCCACCACCACAACATCAACACCACGAGATCTAAAAAAGGGCAAAAACTGATAACTTATTCGAAATGCTAACATAATTCACCAGTTATCATAGTTATTTCGAAAAGGTATCAGGTTAAATTTTTGTTTCAACGATGAAAGATATTTAAAGGTTGAAACGAGTATACGTTTTTTTGATAAAATGCTACAGCTGTGTGAATGAGGTAAGTATAGTAATTTATTTTCAAGGATTTCTAAGTGGTTTCAATTTTGCTTATTGCTTCCTGATAGCTCATATGGTCATACTTTGGCCAAATACATTTCATACGTACCTATCAGTAGTCAATTTAACTTTTGTATTAATTAATAAGAAAGTTTGATAGACATTTCATAATAGTATAACATTTTAAATTTATTTGAAAAAAACAAGGTATTTTACTTGACAGTTGGTTAATTTATCATATACAACCAAGTAGGTAATCGCAACTTAAATATCAATAACTTTTCTAACTTTGAAAGAAAATTGAGAACAGATATTCAACCTTCGTTATTTTTTCTATTTATCTAGTTTTATATGTGTTGACTACTTGTGCTGTTAGCTCTTTGCTTGGGAACAAAGAGTTTTGCCGTCAATTTCGGGAAAGTTTAATCTTATGCTAAAGCCCGCTTTAAATCTAGATGTTATTTGGACACGAGCTGATAACAATAATTAAAGCATTTTTTTTATTTAAAGAATTTGGAATCGCGTATTCCACTAATGTATTTTTATTACAACTCTGCAATTAATTTACATTTACAAACTATTAGAATTGCACCTCTAAATTATGAATCCCATAAAAATGAGCAGATAAAGTTTCCATGTTTGTTAGCTTTGCATCGCTAACATGTTTATGAAATCTAAATGTCTCAAGAGGTCTCAGCGTCGTCAAAATGACAGAAATATAATTTATCTGGACTTTCTATATTAAAACTTCCGGCCTAGCATGAAGACGCCCCAATTCTTTATCAACGTCTTGAACTTTAGCCTAGTCACTGGCTTAAAGCGAAAATCGTGATGCTAAGCACTATTGAAATTTCGCGTGTAAAAACATTGTATTAGTGGTTAACTCACGTTGGAGGTGACTTGCAGAACCATCGAGAGAGCTTGATTAAAATAATTGTGCAATAATATAATTAAATGTGCAACTTGTGAGTTTTCGTTCGCCTGCAGGTGTGCATAGAGTTAATTTTTCTTTTATATTTAGAAAGTATCTCATAATTTAGAGCAATTACAAACTGGAATACATCATGTAGTCGCTTACAGCACTAACTTTGTTTTAGATTGCTTAATTTCATCGAATTTCGGAATGAAGAGAGTTGACACATAAAATATGTGCCCAAATCATACGGGTGGATATATGGGAACTATATTTGAAAACATTAGGTATATTGTATTTAACTTTTGGTTGTCAAAAATAAAAGAGCAAATATATTTATAAACCGTAGGAAAATTTTTCTTTATGATACAACCTTGTTGATACAAAATAATCAATGGGGTGGGGTGCAATTAAACCTCGTCACGCCTCGTTAAGAAGTATGTCTCGCTAGCGGGTTCGGGGCTTGATTAAAACTCCTTTGATACTCTCAAAGTGACCAACGCCTCGATCTCTTATTTGAGTATTTCCCAACGCTATTTTTAAAATTCAAAGTAGCCATGTCATATTAGTGTCGTTATGTGATGTTAAAACCAACAATAGCTGCCAGAAAAGTTCAAATATATAGTCGAAAAATTGGCCAATTTTTGGGAATAAAATATATTAATCCAGTCTTAAACCCGCTATCCAAACATGCCTGGTAAGTGCCGAGGTTCAGCTGCATAACTCTCCTAACAAATCTTAATATGAATGTCTTTATCATCGAGTGACACGCAAACTATCAAAAAGAGAAAACATGATACGGTCATAAATGTTTTTTTACTTCATATCGGGCAAAAACATTAAACACAAATGTTTTTCAAATATAATTTGTATACGCTACCAGGCTTACTTACCTTAGCTCTTTCCTCAAACATTCAGCTTCTGACTCAATAGCTGCCAATAGACCACAATGAATTCCTCTGACTGGATCAGCTACTCTACATAATCCCGACGTCATATAAATGATCCTTCCCCGGGCTCTACGTACCAATGGCAGCATTATTTGGGTGACTCTTGTGGGTCCCAAGAAATTAATTTCCGTTGCTTTTTTAATGACCTACAAATAAGGTTATTTCAATTAAAATTTGAAAAATTTAGCAAAAGTTGTTCTTACTTGCAATAGTTTTATTTTCATTAAAATCACGTTAAAATACGAAAATGTTTGAAGTTTACTTTTCAAAAAATATTTAAGTTGCTTAGGATCCGCTAAAAAAATCGTATTAAAAATTAGTGTTTTAATGTGTGCACAAATGCTTGGTCTCTTGAGAATCTCTTGAAATCTTGGATTTTAAAAATACTTTACTTGTTTCAGTACAACAATATTTACACATGCAGGAAACGGCAAATTAATGTAAAAACTCACTTATAAAACTAATCGCCAACTCGTTCATATTTTAGGATAGTAGCTTTGTGAATAAAATCTTGCCTCACATGAATAAGGCAGGTTTCCGGTTCAACTTATGGATTATTGTACCAAATCGCTCTGAAAATCCTACTTATCCAGAAAACTTAGAAGATATTGAAAGATGTATTTTGAGCAAAACTTTTAATAATACTGATGACGCATTTTATGTACTCGTTTTCTATTTTTTCCGGCAATATCCTGAATGGTTAAAAAAGTTTTATGTATCAATTTTTATTAAAGCCATCTTAGAAATAGGGATTTAAGTGCTATTAAGTGTCTACTTTTATTCCTTTGCACAAAGAAACACAGTTCTTTCTACAGACTAAACTGATATACTTAGGTACTTCAAACAGAGAATCTAGTAATCGGTCTAGTTTAATATTTTTCTGTGTCAGTGAAAGCTCCGGTAGGCGGAGACTCACGGTTCCACAAAAAATGTCCGGTTATGGGAGGTGTCCCCATAATAGAGATGTATTTAATTAAGAATAAATATTTATTTTCAGCTTCTTTACTGTCTGCATATGTTTTATAACATTTTTCAACACAGAAACATAGAAACTTATTGTGCCGGTTTACTAACATAAAATACTATTGTGGCGCGTTTTTTGACATCTATATTGAAAATGGGTTTCAATGTTTTAAGATGTTGAATCATGCGATTTTATGAGTGAAGCATCGGGTACAGTCAACGTTTCTTCTGATTCGTCATCAACACTACTCATGGAAAGATCAGTTGTGGAAAGGGCGGTGGTATCAAGATGAAACGTTTCTTCTTCAGTCTGTACCATATGGTCCATGTTTACAAATTCTTCTGCTTGTTGATCACTTGCACTTAAGGATTTTGCATGACGCAGTAGTCCCGCTAATAATGAAAAAGGCAGTTCATCTTCTGAATTATAATCTCGTGTTATTTCTCCTTCTGTCTTCTTGAATCCAGCTTTTATAAAGCAATTTTTGACTGTTGCAGAATTAACTTTAGTCCATGCCGTTTTTATGAAATATAAAGCCTCTAATACATTCATGCACTTTGACAGCTTAGACGTAGACTTGGAAGAGTCAATTTTAGTTAACACATGTTATAGAATAAGATCTCTCTAAGAAAATTTGAAGTTCTTAATGATGATTTGGTTCAAGAGGACAAATGGAAGTGGTGTTTTCACCACTTCTTCGGGGCAAAAATATAAGTTTCACATTATTCAATTTCACCTCATGAGGATGGCATCCTGCTTTATCTAGAAATAAGAGCACTCTTCTTTTCTGAATCCCCATTTTTCGATCGAACTGAAACAACCATTCTGACAAAATATCTTGGCTCATCCACGCTTTCGTGTTTGATTTCCAAATTGCTGGCAAATCTTGGATGGCAATATTTTTCAAAACACGAGAGTCCTTTTCATCAGACATCGATGCGCAAAACAAAATGGTGAATCTTTCTTTAGGGAACTTACCGCCGGTGCATAAAGTTTTGTCCGGTAATGCACGAATGAAAAGTCCGGTCTCATCTGCGTTGAAAACGTCCTCCGGCTTGTAGCCAAGCAACATAGAAGAAAGGTTTGCCTTAAATTGTTCTACCTTTTGTTGATCTCCATGTGTCCCTTCACCCGAGACGCACTTAAAACTAATGTTATGTCGTGTTCGCCACTTTTACAACCACCCGTCCGATGCATTGAAGTTTGTGTAACCCGATTGCTTGGCAATATCTTTTGCCTTTCTTTCACCAATGGACCAGAGATAGGAATGTTATACTTACGAGCCTTTGCAAACCACTCTAAACAGTTTTTATACATGTCAAGATCATCACTTTTTAGAAAACTCCTCTTTTGTCCTACATTGTCACCACACTGCCATTTTGCTCTAATATCTTCTTTTTTTAGTTATAGTTCTAGAACGGTAACTGTTTCTTTATATAAACTATTTACTATTTTCATTTTTTCTTTTAAGGAAAGCATTTCTACATGTGCTCGAAACTTAATGGCACTATCCTCGATGAATACTTCTTCCACTGCTACGTCGCAATCTGCATCTCTACTTCTCTGATCATAAAGTTTAAAGCAGGCTAACACCTTATCTGAGTCATTGTTAAAGACATCATATTTAGTGGTAGATAATAGTAATTTATCAAGGTTCTTCTCTCACTAACCGATAGATAGTGCCTAGAAACATCCATATATTATCTATACTTGCTATGAGCCAGCACAGTCACTCCTTTCTTGACTAGGTCATGTTTCCTCGAACGTATATAAACTTTCTTGCAATGCATTCAATGCATGTGTCGTTGCCATTGAATCTGCCCTAATCCAAAATTGCGAAACAAATGTGGTTAAGAGAACCCACAGCATAAATTAACTTGCTATCGATGTCTCATTTATCACGAAGAACAGAATTCCCCCAAAATTGAACATTGTTTCAATTAAACGAGCAGCGGTTTTTGCCGTACGAACAGAATGGCTTCCATTTTGCCACAGCGCGACTGCACATTAAACCAAACTTCAGATAAATTTCACTTTAGCGCGACATTTGCGCGAATGCTTTTAAAAATGTTGCTTTATTTTGAACTTCATGCATTAGTCTACAAGTTTGGCCTACATTAGTCTTGGCCTTTTGAGGCCCATACTTCAGACAGAGCATATTATTCTCTATCGCAAAGTTTCTAAACTCCATTATAGGTGTAATTAAAAGTTTTTCTGTTTAGGAAAGATATAGATGGACGCCTTTCATTGCACGGTGTAAGTGGAGATTATTGATTGTTTACACCCTACTGTAATAAGTTGGAAGACAATTAGGATTAATTATTTTATTCCCGACGTTGTTCTTTTTGATTCTGTTTGTTTTCGGTCTGTTGACACAACGTTTTGTAATTAATTCAGTGGGTATACTTTGAATGTTTCCAACTTTTCTCGCTACTGGGTGATTTTTAAATGGAAGTAGGTATATGAAAACTGAGAAAGAAGTACAAAATTCACTTCCAAGCATTAAATAGAACTCATCTTTCCTGGGTCTTAGTCAAAGTGTGAAGTAAAAATTTTCCTGACTGCGTGTACTTGTTATGATTTTTTTACCTTTCCTGGGTCTCAGTCAAAGTGTGAAGTAAAAAATTTTGAACAGTACGTTTATTTCATTACGTTTCGGCGATGTTATAAATGTTTACATCACACTTTGACTGAGACTCAGGAACTAAGAAAATCGTAACAAGTACACGGGGTCAGGAAAATAAATCAGAAATTAAATAGAACTACTGCCCAACAAATCTGAGACTGTCACTAAAATAGTGAAGAACCTCAAGCTTGAACTGCTAAAAATCATTATCTTAGTCTTTCAAATCCAACAATATTTGACCAAAATGGTAACACTCTAACCAAACATTATGAATTGTGTATGTTGTATATCTTCCCCTCTTTTAGCGACTTGTAAAAACAGCAAAAGCAAATATAAGTATAAGCTATAAGGGACGCCTACGTGAAATACCAACTGACTGTATTTTGATGTATTGAACCAAAAATTTATCGTTTCAGTTTGCCGCTGTGCGGAAATGAGTTCTTGTCATATATTTTTTTATTACGATTGATTTACTAACAAATTGAATGTAATTTCGAGGGTTGTTTGATAAGTCAGTGACTTTTTGAAATTCTCGCGCAGTAACTTCAAATCCAACACCACTCACGTCAACTGTCGTCTGTTTTTTGTATTTTGAACGAAGGATCTATTTTCTATTATTGAGTTTGAACCTCACTCAATACCAAAATTGTTGATAAAAATCTAATTTGAATCCCCAATCTCATAGTCCAAGTATGGCAATAAAACTTAGGAGTTTTAAATAATGTGTTTTCATGACATCGATTTATTTTGAAGTAAACTCTAAGTATGGTAAACCATACTTTTTTAAGTACTTGGTAATACAATGAATACCCACTTGAAACGAATACTTACTTGTTCCTTTTTGTTACGAAGTTAGTAACATGAAGTTTGCCGCAAATGTAAAAGCTTGGTCACACGGTGACAGTAATGTAATGACATATATTATTATATTCATGTCGTGACGTGAATGCCGAAACAATGTCAATGTCTGAACAGTTGAATCTCATAGTGTCGTATATCAAACGATTTTGAAATGCAACACCTTGACACTGAATGGTGTCACGGCATTAACGACTTATTAATGTCACGAGATTAATATCACTGCGTGAACGAGCTTTTAAACATAACTCCTTCAAATTTTGGCGCAATATTACTGTACTATATTTAATTAATTAACTATATTTAATTAATTAAATATTGTAAGATTGAAATTGAAAAGTACGTTTAGTAATATCCCTACATCGAAGTTTCATATCACAAATGCGCGCTATCCTCTAAATCATCATAAGCTACGCGTTCTGTACTTGACTATACTTTTCAATGAAGCATGCTAAAGAATAGGGAATGCCCAGTGTCAGACTGACAAATATATATAATTTCTTGACACCTTAAAACGAACTCACAAAAAAAAACTCATATTTTAAATGGCTGATAATGAGGTATTACACTAATGCGTATTTGTCTGTGAAATAATTATAAACTTTTCCTAAACTACCTGTAATGGAATCCATTCGATTTCTCCTAAAGCCACCCAAGAAGCGGCGTTAACAACGGCCCATAATCCATGAGCGCCATCAGGAAGATGTTCAACGACGCTCAAAGAGGCTGCCAATATTTGAGTTTCATTTGTGACATCTAGTTGTAATACGTGCATTCTGGCTGAGCAAATTTCCTTCAATTCCTCCGCCAAGGGGTTGTCGCTCAAGGTCTGGAATCCTGCAAATACTGTAAAGCCCTGTTCGTCCAGATGGCGAGCGAGGGCGCTTCCAATGCGAGAATCGCATCCTGTTATTAAAACCGCTTTTCCTGCTGCCGTTATCTGGAATCAAGCAATACATCTATTAAACTTCCTATATTAAAAGGAAAATCTAAGAAAATGATTTTGTAGAGAGAGCATGGAAGCCGGCAAATCAACTTATCAAAAATTACTTGTTGGTGTTGTCTTTAAAATTCTTAGAAATAGAAAAAGGGAAATAATTCAAGCAAAAAGTAGAGTTTTTATGACTAGTATCTTCGGAACTAGAGCAGTTGCGAAGAAGGTCAAATGGACCAAGAATTGTAGTTTCGAATGCTCTACTCGAAGCCAATTTCATGTTTCTAAAATTTAAAATCTGTCCAGAGATATTTGGGAAAAACCCATTTATGGTAGTAAATGTATGATATTTTTAAATTGGTCCTAGTTCCGTTGATATTAATTTGACAGGAAAACATTAAATAAAAAACTTATAGGAAATTGAATTCCAAACAAAATGGCATAAAACACTTCTCCAAAATAATTGTAATTTTTGACATATGACACAAATTTGAGTTTTTCTAAATGACAACCATACTTGATTATTGCTTTACCGAATAGAGCATTTTATTATAATTTTCGTGATATATCACATCATTATGTTTTTTTGAAAATAAAGTGTCTGCGAACAATTTATACTTTTTCAATTTAGTTGATCGAAGTTATCCATGGAAAATAGTTTACGACGTACAGCTTTGTTTCCATAGTAACAAATAATAATTCTATATTCTATAAATACTTCAGTATTTATTTTGACAACTACGTTAAAGTTGTTGTTTATTATAATAGTCAAATCATACCAATAATAATTAAAATTTAATTTTATTTGATTTTTTATTTTATTCTAAAACATCCTCAAAAGGTCCACCATTATTATCAATGCAGACATTGCAACAGTTAAAAACTGCCTAAGTTGCTTTTCTTGCGGACCGACCATCAATATTTTCAATTGCTCTAACAACAGCCTCTTTAAGTGCATTTAAATTGGAATATTTGTTTATACTAACGAAATAAAAAAAATGAATATAAAACGCATCAAAATGTAACACTCCCTGCGCCCACCCCCTCTGTAACCGCCACTGATTTGCTCATCGATGCGTAATGAAGCGCTATTGTTCTGGATCCGCTGAACCGAGGCCCGCCTTGGGATCCGAATCTTTAAGAAGATCCGGATCCAAAGATCTGGATCTTTGAAATGACCCGACTTGCCCACCACTTCTTGCAACTGAACTTAACTTTTTACGAAATATAACTGCTCTTCACTTTCCTCCCACATCATGCCCTTCTGGCGAGGCCAATGGGCTGCTTTTTTATGACTGAGGTCTACATTAAAGCAAAGGGCGCTTCACAAAACCCTTAAAGTAGACATATATAAATTCGAATGTGGTCGTTGTCTTGAGCCTCGTTTGGTACTTATCCACACCAGGCGAATAATGGGCGTTTAGCATGTCAAGTAGCAAGGGAGACGGAACGCAGGTACCGAGAAATTTATGGTTTTGCCAGTGCATTGAACTCAAATTATAATAATCTAAAAATACTATAAAAATTTAATTCATATTTCAACACGATTGCCGATTTCAACAATTGATACAATTACAAACATAAATACTGTATATCGCACACACAGGACTAGTCGGGATGAATGGGCCAAACTCTCTATCTCAATGTTTGTAGAGGTTGCACGCACCCATATGATACAAAGTGGGTACCTTAATGTCATCTGGGGTGTAAGCTTGGGGTTTCAGCTAACTTACTCTAAATTTGACTTTTGAATTTAATACTGTTCCTTTGATTTAGGTTGATCTGTAAACATGAGTTATTGCATTTTTGAAACAATTAGCAAATATCAAACAATAAGATATATGGGTTTTTTTCGTAAAGGTTCTCATACTCATTCTTCATATACACCAACCTATCAATTTTAGAATTTTTGATTATAAAAATATCCGACTTGATCATAGGAATGATAATTTATAGTTTATTTGCAAATAAAATATTGACGATAAATTTTATTGAAAATTAGTATATACTTTCCTGACTGTGTTTCAATTCCAAATCAAAATTAATTCCTGGGTTTCAGTCATTTATTGTCTCCATTTATCAATTAAAATACGTTTCGGTGAATTTTTCCACCATCATCAGTTTTTATGTGTAGCGTTTTTGCTGCTTTAAGCCTTGGCATACATTTTGGCTGCATTTATGTAAGCCTTGGCTTACATAAAAATGTATGCCAAGGCTTAAAGCAACAACAACGCTACACATAAAAACTGATGATGGTGGAAAAATACACCGAAACGTATTTTAATTGATGAATAGAGACAATAAATGACTGAAACCCAGGAATTAATTTTGATTTGGAATTGAAAATTAGTTAGTTAAACTGGAATTTTATATACTGAAAAAGACAAACACGTTATCCTGTTAAACGGTTTTGCTCCAAATAACCGATATTATAGTGACTGATTATTCCATTCATCTATGTATATTGATTATTCTAAATTGATGACGAAATGAATGAGGATAGTAACGAAAATTGCACGAAGTTGTTATATATTTTTATCAGTATACTACCAGGATTTCCTCTTTTTCCTCAACTTATTTCGATTTACAACAATTTTGTTACACACCTTAATTTTCTGGAATGTTTGCCTTTGCAATACGATTCACACTTTTTATTGAATGTATGATTTTACTCTGTAAATCATAGCGGAATTTCTTAGCTTTCCTGGGAAAACAGGTAGCGTATACTTGCAATATGGCTTCGCCCTGACCCAACCGAAACAATGGCTCGTTTTCATTTTGTCAAGACACTGAAACTTGCTTGTTCAATTATCGTTTATGGCCACCTCATACTGAACTAGCAGTATTGAGCTGCCTTCTATAATAATTGTATCTTTAGAACCCGGACGGGATTAGAGCTGTAACATAAATTCAGGTCGCAGCTTCCTACGTTTAGAGCAGCATGGCAAAATCTGTTCTAATTACGTACGTTCATGGGCTTCTCCCTGTTTCGCATAGATGAATATAGCTGTAATTACTTTTTAATAATATAAGTGCAATAATAGGTTGTACTTTTAACTTTTCTGAGTGGAAGTTAAATTTTTTTAAAATTAATGAATAAATTGGAAATGTATTCTAAATTGAAATGGTTCTATTAATCAATATATATAATTCATATCATATAATAAGAGTTTTCAATCTGATTTGAAATTTTAAAATCTAAAACTATATAATCATATTCTTATTTTTCTAGTGAATACATTTTTTAATATTACTACAATGCGGCGTCGAGAAAAAAGTCAATTTGGAACCCATTCAAAACGAAGTTAGTTTCTTCAGAAACTGAAATAGAATAATTCAAAGCTCATGGTCATTTTAATTGATTATAAAACATCCAATTACTTAGTAATGTAATAAGTAAACAAAAATAGTATATTGAAAAATAGGAAAGATGCGATCTAAATATATATATAGTAATTCATGAAATGAAGTGACGATCACAAAATATACTGAAACATTTTGCGTAGTACATTGGCGTCATTCACCGGGCGGGTTGTAGGGGTGGAATACTGGAACCTTTCCCCATTGTTAAGTTGATAAATTATTTTCAATCGTTACATAAACTTACAGAGTAAAACTTAAGTAAATACAGTTGAAAGCTTTCCTGGCAGCTTAAAATTTTATGATTCAAAAGCACAGTTTATGTAGTGCATCAAGCACGGGATTGTTGTTCGAAAAAGTAATGCGTGCTCAAATGTGCTACATATTTTTAGATACATTTAATTTTTTACTAATACCCTTTTTTATGTTAAGCTGTTGACGGGTTTTTGCATGACAAATTTAATATGGAAAAGCAAAATGATGAATTATGACACCTGGAAATTATACTCGTAAATTTCTATTAGAGCATTTCACTAACTCATTATAGTTTCAGAACTTTTAAATTAATGCATTATGGCATTAAGCGTTTTACATAATATGTGACAACAGATAATGTATTAAAAAATAAACGGAATAATTTTTCTCAAACTTTTTCTCATTTCCCTAATGAACAATTGCGCAAGTTTAGCGACAATTTTAAGTCACTATTTATTTGTTAAGAACAATAACTTAGAACGCATCTAGTTTAGACTTATTATAATATAAGCAGGAGTGAAAAACTAAGTTTGAAAAGAGGTTTGTTTACACATTTTGTTCAATCATTCTTCATACATTCGATCTTAATAATAAATTACATGTAAGGAAGACGAGCGAAACCCAATTTCTCGTTCGTTTTTGTTACATACAGCAGCTAACTATCTGGATTGGACTACTGCTGAAAAAGCACAATATCAAAATCGTGCTCAACACGACATAAGCAACTAAACAGAACCTGAGGACCGCTAAAGACAAAAGAGATGATTGTGTAGCAGGATCTGAGTCTGCAGGATTTTATGCTGCCGCGGTTTTAGCTACATTGGTACAAGCAAATAACAAAAAAACGATGTTTTGGACCAAATACATCAGTGCATATCAATGCTTTTTCTAGAAGTTTTAGACGTTTTTAAATACCCAGATAACTTCAATAGAGAAAGTGGCTTCGACAATAAAGAAACGATTAGTCGTCTCTTAAACCAGAAGTACAGAGCAAGAAGCATTGCGTATTTTTTGATCCATCGTTTTCTGCAGACGCATGCTTGTATAAATATAACAGCAGAACCAATTGACGAACCAGATTGGGACCGCAGAAAATTTTACAAGTGTAAAGAATTTCCTTTGAAGATTAACCAAACAAGGATCATAGATAACCATCATCATATCATAGATAACCACAAGCTTAATCGATAATAAAAGGCTTGATATCCCTTTTCCTAGCAGTGAAAGAACATTAGAATTCGTCAACTAACAGTTTAGCTTTTAATTGAAAATTGTTAAAAAATTAGACTAATTACTTCTCTAAGTGCATGTTGTTTTGGAACTTCTTAAAGTTGATTGGGATATAAAATTCCGCCTATGTGAAGAAATTATGGCCAAATGTGGGAATAACA